TTCATCTGCTCCAAGATTATGGAACAACCTTCCTCAAGAAATCAGGAAATGTGTAAACATCAATGACTTTAAGGGAAAACTAAAAGCTCATCTGTTTAGAAAGTCCTTTGATATGTACTGAGTAAATAATACATTATCAGAAGATTTTTAAAATCTTCATCCTATAGCAGGTCAATTTTACGCTTTAAATTAAATTATTTTAGGCTACTAATTTTTCAGGATTTTCGGGCAACATTCGAGATATTATTCTTTTCCGTGTTTCACTGTGTCTGCCAACAAAATTTTAGTGTAGGTCAGAAAAGGAGGCTCTATCCCGGGACACCAACATTTTTTGGGTTGGCACCCGGGAGAAAGCTGCCTTATTCTCTGTATTTTGTCTCAAGTATTTTAGCATCTTCTTCCACTCTGTTTATTTCACCGTCTCTAGACTTGTATGTTGCCCAGATAATTTGACATGACTGTATTGGATTTTCTGTAACATCAGTTACTGTTCTGCAGTAAGCTTTTTTAATAATTTTGTATTGTATATTGAAGTATTCAGATTGTTTGTATATTTGGAGTTATATATATTTGGAGTCTCATACATAGATTTCTTGTGGTCATCATCTATTTTTCATATGTTTTGTTAGAAAACCTGCTAACCTTTCTTGGATATCTTCTTGTTAAAGGTGTTTCTGCCTTATTTAGTCAGGATTTAACTTGTAGCTATAAACTTCCGTTTTTAATTCCAGTCCAAGGCGAGATGCACGATCTCTACTGTCATTTAGGTATCTTTTACAGCTGAGCATAAGGGTTAAATTTAAATTATTTAACCTTTTGGTGCTGTATCAAAATAACATTAATTTATTATTATTATTATTATTATGATGCTTGACTGCTTTATTGACCCGGACAGGCACCGGGGGCAGACATCCCAACACCAGTGCGTTGGGACATAGTGTTGGTCTGCTTCAGGACGTGTTAGATCCTAGAGAAGCCGCCATCCCCTCTACTGCTTTAGCTCAGCAGCAGCATGAGCCCTGGTTTCCTGCCACATTGGTACCTCTGAAAGTACAGAAAAGTGGTGGATTTCGGGGTCCAGGATACTCCCTCTTTGTTCTTTATGGTGGTAATATTTCTCTGAGATGTTTGCAGAGTCTTTATTTCATGATCTTTCTAGTCGGATAAATCCTGGAGAGCATCATTTTGTCCCCAAAGAAATTCGACTCTCCTAATGAATGCTTTTTGTGTGCTGCTTTTTGTTAACACTTCATCTAGATAGGAATGTGAGTCTGCCCCACCCAGCTCTTCTTTCAGTTGCAGGTAACTGGTGTCTTGCACCTCCAGACACAATAGGAGCTGGTGTACGGGGGAATCAATGAAGCTGTTACAGAAACGACAGGCCTCACCACTGCCACCACCCATGATCTTCTGGATGTTCGCAAAGAGTGGTGAGCTGCCGTGAATGTAGTCCATTATTCCTTTATTCGGCTGTCCAGATTTTTACTCGTGTTGTGCCCGAATAAAAAGTTGTTTTTGTCTAGGAGCAGCCCACTGTTTTTGATCTTTGTGATCACACCGAGTATCTTGGTCTCCTTGTTGTTACTGACAGTTCTGCATTGCAGATTTGTTTCGATGCTGTCAATCCAGATCTTATTTTTGTAGCTCATTATGTCTGCCTGAGTGTAATAGGCTAGATCCTTGAAATGTTGCTGCGTTAGGTCTATCATTCTGGTTCCGTGTGACTTATTTTCTTTCCAAAGGAAGTACTTTTTCAGTGACATTGTTAGGACATGAAAACTTGGTATTCTGCTTTCATCAACTTGGTAGAGGGTAGCTGAAAGATTGTCACCTTGTGTGAGTATTTTGCACATGAATTTAACCGAGAGAGCTTCGTGTTGCACATCCAGTGGTGGTAGGTGGAGAGCAAGTTCGGTTAATTCCCTTTGTGGGTTCAGGACTGATCCAGATATTTTTAGAATTATTTTATTCCATAAGCTTTTAAATTGATTGAGACACTTGTGAAGCCAAATAGGTGCTGCGTAGAACAGTTTAGTGAGGACCATTGTCTTAAGGAGGAGAGTGAGGCTGTAAACGTTTAGACCATAGTTGCGGTTAGTTGATTTTGTTATTAATCCCCACTTTCTTTTGCATTCTTTAAGTTTTTGAGACGCATGTTTCTTGAGATTGAGGTCCTCATCTACTATTACCCCAAGGACCTTCGTACTTTTGACGTAGTTGATGCTTTTCCCATTAATACATAATTCTGCAGGTTTCTGTTCTTCATTATAGGCTGCAGTTTTCAAGATTATTGCCTCTGTTTTATTTGTATCACAGTTCACTACTAGCTTGTTCTTGATGCACCACTTGCTAAGGTGGTCACATACCATCTGCATTTTTTCATGGCATCCGGAGATGTTCTCAAAGGAAATCATAAGTGTACCATCATCTGCAAATTTGTAGCAGCTTAGATAGTTAGATATCTTTTTACCTCTTCCGGGGTGTTGTGCGTCATGTCTGCTATGTATAGGATAAAGAGGAGAGGTGTGAGTACAGCCCCCTGAGGTAGTCCAAATATTGTGCATTTTCTTTTTTCTCCTTTATAGTTGTTCAATTTTAGACATATCGTCCGGTTGAACAGGAAACTTCTCAGCACGTTAAGAATATTTCCTTGAATACCGAGAGTTGATAGTTTGACACATAGTGATGGAAGATGAACACTGTCAAATGCCTTTTCGAAGTCAAGGAAAAGCACTATACATGCCAGCTTCTGTCGTTTAACTTCCTCAAGGTTAGCCAGCATTCTGAAAAGATATCGCGTTGTTGATCTCCCTCCAATAAAACCTTCCTGATCTTCATCAAGAGTTCCTTCAATGTCCAGGAAGAGTCTCAATCTTTTATCTAGCACTCTTTCACAAATCTTTCCAAAGTAGGATGATATGGAAATCGGTCTATAAGCACCAGGTAACATGTAGCTGGATTTTCCTTCTTTCCTCAAGAATGTTACATCGGAAGATTTCCACAGCCATTTTCCTGTGCTCATACACCAGTTAAATATTTCTTTTAGTAAAATAAAGTAAAGTAAAAGTAACAGGTTTCCACCTTCCAGTCTTCTTCGAATGAAGCAGTGCCTGGGTGACCCAGGTTATCATGGAGATGGAAATTATAGAATCAAGAAAACAACAATTTCAAGAAAACAACAATTTTATTTAGTATCAATTAAAGCAGACAAAAATATATTTCATATCTTACTATATATAAAGCGAGACGATATATATATATCTGTGCCATTTTACTGACACCACGGCATCAACTTTAACGCGACTTTCCGCAAAAACCGTAAAAGATATACAACTGGAACTTTTTTGGCTGGGTCAAATGCTTTAATGGCCTTCAAATCAGCATGAAAAAATAAAAAATTGGCCAAGGAATAATGATTTTAGAGCCGAAAATTTGGACCCCCAAGTGGTGTCAAAAACGCCAATTAAATAGGTAATAATTATTTTAGTATTTTGAGTCTTGACACCGTTTAGGGTTATATTATACGGGTTCCTGCTAGTATATATAACTAGCACGAACTTTAGATCAGATATCTTAGGGGACTTGGAGTAGCAAGAGATTGACTAGAAGGTATATACCTTTTACAAAGATACGTCGAGAAGAATCCAGGGTGATACAGGATCGGAGAGTGCAGACCAAAAGTTTACGCACCCACCTTTGCCTCCTGAGTTCTTGGGTGGATAGAAATTTATGCAAACTTGGTCGTTTATACTCCAAGTCCCTTTCTTAAAAGAAGTAGTATTAACTATGTCTAGAGTTAGCTTCGTTCAATAATAACAATATCAATATAATCAATATCAATACCAGATAAACCTACCGAATAAATTATTAAATATCAATTAATTCATTCCGATAAAAAATTTTATAAATTTAGATATTTAGTATCTAAAAACATTACAACAATGGTTAAAAAGCGCCCAAAATCGATTTGAAAGATTTTCTGTCTATAGTACAATCATGATAGTAATAGTAAGTGTGTGCCGCTGCAATTAGATTTGATTACTGCAATTTAAAATTGTTTGGAGTCCAAGTATCTCTCCTTTTTAGATTAGTTTAGAATCTAATCTAATCTAATCTAGAAAGGAGAGATTCTATAAAAGCAGAACACAGACATTTCTTCTCTCTCGATTTCTTGACCACTAAGATGGATGTCCAGAAACATGGCACGTATACGTAGGACCTTTAAAGTGTACTCTTGCTTTAGTCAAGATCTTTTGGAAGGGAGCGATCATCTTTATTCAACCCTCCATTATTCAGCTGATTTAGGAACACTTTTAGCTCCCGAAATTGAAAGAGTTCATGGTCAGATATCCACAAGTAAAACAGGATACAATTGTATTAAGTATAACAAAATTTAAGTAAAACAAAATTTAAATTTTATTGCCATATTACATTGAATAATAATATCATAATAAACATAGTTAAACTTGAATATCCGATAATAAACTCATGGATATTAGATATGCTCATGAAATGTAAAATACGCTTTTTACATATTACTCGAAAATTCGCTTTCAATTAGCTCTTTCTAAGAGGGGGACCCATGTTACTGCAGCGTTTTCCTTCCTCTGAAGTGTTTCATTCAGTTAGCCTTGATTTTGTTCTAAATGAACATTTATTCTAGTACTTTGAAGTGAAGTAATTGTTTAGTTCTTTAATTTTATACTAAATTATTATTTATGTGATTTAAAGGAAAAGTTGGTAGACAATTAGTGACTTACTAACTAAATTACCTTACATCAAACCATATAATAATTCGCGAAGAAATCTGATTATAGTAATATTTCAGCAATTTGATACTTCAATTTTTAAGTCAATAGCCATAATTTTTTCCTATCTGCTCTTTTACAATTTTTAGTCTTAGCATAGGATGATTTGTGTTCATTATTTACTACTCCAGATTTCAATAAAATTCAATGACAAATGTCAGCTATTCACTTGTAAACTCTCTAGGTTATAGGATGAAGCCAATTCTATTACAAGCGCATGAGAGGTCTCTAACGAAGGTTCTCTACAACAAGGATGGAGATTTACTTTTCACAGCTTCCAAGCACAATCTCCCCAATGTGTGGTGGTCGATAAACGGCGAGAGGTTGGGAACATATAATGGTCACAATGGTGCAGTGTGGGACATGGCTGTGTCAAGTGACTCCACCAAGCTGTTATCAGCTAGTGCTGATCAGTCCTGTATTGTTTGGGATTCTGAGACTGGTAAGTGTATATTATTTCGGCTTTTTATTATCTATTTAATTGGGTTATTTGGTGCTCCTGTGGTTACAGTTGATCAACAGTTAATGAAATATTTTGAGCATTCAGAATTAATAATACTCGTTTTAAGCTTGTATAGTGTATACATAATACAATCCATTTGATCGGGTTATCTAATTTCTATTACTTCTGACTTCGTTATACGTTTATTTGTTCCAGGTAAAATTTTACACCAGCTTGAAGCTAAGTCTCCTGTGAGATCTTGTGGTTTCTCGCTTACAGACAACATTTTGTGCTTTACCACAGATAAAGCTATGGGACAGCCCTGCTTCGTCAAATTCTTTGATATCAGAGATAAAGAACAGGTACTCCATTTTATGAGGATTTGGTGTTTCAGGTTCATTTTCAAAATTCATTCAAATTTCATTCACGATTTAAAACTTTTAACTCTTGTTACAATTTTTAAACAAAATTTATCATAATACGGATAAAAAACTGGACCCTTAGAAATGAACGAAACAAACTTTGATTTTCAAAGCAGGACTATCAGTCCATAGGACGGGCATAAGGATTGTCATAATAATGGGAGATGATCTATATCTGGTCATGTGCATTGATACACATCCCTTACTCTGATCACTGATGATGATGTTCATCTTCTGGCAAATTTTGACCGAAACGCGTTTTAACTGATTACTTGTATACCAGTATACTGGTTCCAATACTTTGATAACGACTTGTGTCACTGTCACCGACCTCACTGATTGGTCAATACTCACTGGTAAAAATTTCAGTCAAAACCGCCAATTTTCGGTCAAGGGGACAGCAGAAAAGCTTCTCTTCAAATATCTTCCAAAATCTCTTTTTAAATTCTGCTGATTTTCCGTTTATCAACTAACTCGCTCCACAAATACTCCTCAATTCTCAAATCGTTACTCCTGAAGGCTTCGGTGTTTTGAAGTTTGAATATCTTATAATGAACTCAGTGAATACACTTGTATATCAGGTGGGGGAACCTGCATATAACACCTATAATAGCTACTTATCACATGTGAAGTATACATAGATAATAGATATTAGACAAGCTGAGTACTTAGAATCGCAACAAAAATGTAAACGACGACTATTATTCTTGTCACATACATGTTTTTGGTTGTAATCATATATCACGCAAACTTTCCAGAATTCGTCTAGTTTAACCCTAACATTTTCAATCAGCAGAACTTATTACTACATGTACTTTCTTCAGGTCCAGTCCAACACTCCATTCCAAGATATTCAGATTGAAGATTCTAAAGTTAACAGAATGATCTGGGGTACTGTTGAGGATTATATTATTACTGGTCATGAGAATGGACAGATCTGCCAGTATGACTGGAAGACAGGTACAGTATAGAAACAGATTATCTCTTTTTTCATTGACGTTTAATACAGTTTTGTGGAGCCATGTTTTGAGCATAAAATTAAAGTAAGGAAGGATACTATGCTGAGCATAGTACAGAAATAAAAATCACGACTCACGTCTAGTCTTTTCTTAGTTATAAGGACCAGATTTCTTCAAAGCCTGAAGTATAAAACATTTAATTGCAGGAGAAAGGCTGAGAGTGGATCATTCACACGATGCTCTAATCAAGGATCTCCAACTGTCAAAGGACAGAACAATGCTCATCACCGGTTCCAAAGACACCACCTGCCAAACTTTTCGACGCCAAAACATTCCAGTTCTTGAAGTCGTACAAGACAGACCGACCCGTGAACAGCGCTGCAATCTCCCCGATCAAACACCACATCCTACTGGGTGGAGGTCAGGAAGCCATGGAGGTCACAACTTCTCACACAAAGAGTGGTAAATTCGAGGCCAGGTTCTTCCATCTGATATTCGAGGAGGAGATAGGACGGGTAAAGGGACATTTCGGTCCAATTAACACACTTGCTTTTCATCCTAACGGTAAACAGTACTCCAGTGGTGCTGAGGATGGTTATGTTAGGATACACGATTTTGATCAGAGTTATTATGACTTTGAATACGATTTTTAGAGGTTTTGTGGAATGTGTTGAATTTCTGATCGCCTGTGACTGGTCATGGTTTTATTTTATTTATTGGACACGTTTAGGGTTCGTCTGAAAGTGTGTTTCACTCGCCTCCATTGAGAATAACTTTTGCAAAAAAATCTTGATTACGATCATACTTGAGACTGTGATGTAAAAATTCTACTAAAACAAAATAATATTGACCAAATACTTCGTGTAATACCAAATGGTTTACTTTTATTGGATCATAATAGGTTATAGAAATGGAAGTCAACCCCAACAATCTACAAGCGTTATCAACCTACCTCCAACAAACATTAGACCCAAATCCACAAGTCAGAAAAGAAGGCAAGTTCGTGAAATTTCATCACTGTCGTTTAATTTGTTCATGTTCAATTATTGTAAGCTTGAGTTTCGCTAACGTTTTTTACAAGATACGTAAAGTTTACTAAACTAAAGTTCCAATTGAAACTAATTCTAAATGTTCTGAGTGCGAACTTTGGCTTTAAAAATGTATGCTACAAAATATTACAACTATGACTTTGCAGAGTGCTCTGACTTTGGCAGTCAAAAAAAGTAAAGTAATAAAACAGAGAATTTCTGGCAAAGTAAAAGTTTCGCAGGATTATGATCACCAGTGCCAACTGCCAAGCCAAACTATAACTTACATATTTTAATACTTTCAACACTACTATATAACAAATAATTTGAGGAAACGATGTAACAGAGTCGATATATTTTAATGTTGGCATGGGGTGGAAAGTCCCCATACATCGTAGTCTGGTAGTTTCATTGCGTCTTAATATGTATTCAATTTTCAGCGGAGAAGTTTCTAGCATCAGTTGAAAGACAAAAGAACTTCCCAATACTCTGCCTCAATCTTGTCTCTCTCGAATCATGTGATATTAACGTCAGAGTGGCTGGTGAGTAAAATTTTAATTTACGATTTTAATTTTCGACTAAAGAAATTATATCTTTTACTGCACTTTCTGGACACTGTTAAAACGTATTTGGTACTAATTTGACTACTCATAATCTCCATCCCACCTAATGTACTTGCTTATCAAATATCATTGTATGATGTAATCTATTCTTGCGGGTTATAATATGACCCTGACGAATCTTGTTTTCAGGGTCAGTGTACTTCAAGAATATGGTAAAGCGGCTCTGGAAAATAGACGGAGAAGATAAACTACATACAGAGGACAGAAATCAAGTTAAAACTCTTATCGTAGATCTAATGTTGAACAGTCCCGAATCAATTCAGAGGCAGGTAATTATTTCACAACCACCAAAATTTGCCACTACGAAGGTGGTCACAACAAGTCAGGACAAAATATAAGCAGCACGCTCTTGAAGATATGACTCTTCGCGCAATTTAACTTTTTAGCGCGCGCACGTCGACCATTTCAATATTCGTCGAGCGCAGCGGCGCCTTTTTGAACGTTCGATCGATCTATCGTATTGAGTCCTACTATACTGTACTATATCCATGGTCGTATTTTCTATTGAATAATTTAAATTGGAGGATTATGATTACCAAATGTAACAAATAACCTATGTTTTCCATTATCAGTTGAGCGATTCCATCACAAGTATCGGAGCCGAGGACTTTCCGGAGAACTGGCCCAACCTTATCAAAGGGATGGTCGAGAAAATGCAAACTAAAAACTTTCATGTTATCAACGGCGTCCTGCAGACCGCACATAGTCTCTTCAAGAGGTTAGTTTCTGCTGTAGAACTTTAAGTTTGGTACAGGACCAAGTATTCAACTTACTACTAAATCTTGTTAAATGAATTCGTCTCATTCCTGAATTACTAGGTATCGTTACGAAATGAGGTCAGACGAACTGTTCACCGAGATAAAGTTTGTGATAGAGAACTTCGGGGAAGCACTCACTCTACTCTTTGAGGTACATACAATCAGAATCACCTTTTCCACAATAGTGTTTCATAACCTAAAATCATCCTTAGAATCTCACATTTATGACTACGTGACGATCGCTTAAATCACGGTGTTACCTTACTGCTTATGAGTTTGCTACGAACCGACCAGAACTGCAGATCTATCCCTTTAAAAAAAATACTTTTCATGAGGGTTGCAAGTTAATTTCCCCAGGAAACCTTGGCATTAGCCGAACAACACGCAGCCAACGTGACTGCTCTGAAGATAATCTTCAACTCGCTGGTTACAATCGCCAAATGTTTCTACTCCCTCAACTACCAAGACTTGCCGGAGTTCTTCGAAGACAACATGGCTCGATGGTTCCCTAAGTTCCTTCCGCTCTTAAAACTGCAGAATAAACTTCTTCATACCGATGTGAGTTCAGGATAAATAAGTTCAAAACATTCATGAAAGACCTAAATTTGGATTAAACATGATATAACATTTTGCTTCTGCCGGAAATTATTTTAAACAGATAAATTATGTTAACATCGCTTCATAGGATGCAGAGGAAGTTGGCCTGCTCGAGATGTTAAAGTCTCAAATCTGTGAGAATGTTGCCCTATACGCTCAGAAGTACGATGAAGAGTTTGCTCCTTTCCTACCTGGCTATGTTGAGACCGTCTGGGAGCTCTTGCTTTCAACTTCTCAGGAGGTAAAGTTTTGAGGCATTTCTGCTATTCAAGTTTGAGGTTTAAAGGCGTGAATTTTCTTGTAAATCTATTTAGGGTAGCTTTTGATTTAAGGTGTCTTTAGAATTAATTGATTAAATGATGATGAAATTAATGATTAAATTAGTGACTTGTCTTGTTAGTATTTCGATTTAGCATAATTACCTATTATAATATGTAACTTTACATAAAACTCAGGCTCACAATTTTTGATCGGTTTCAGGTAAAATACGACCTGTTGGTTAGCAATGCCATAAAGTTCCTGACATCTGTAGCCGAGAGACCCCAATATGCCGACTTATTTAGCAACGAGGACACCCTCAAGAACATCTGCGAAAAAGTTCTTGTACCTAACATGAAACTTAGAGGTGAGTCTGAATTTAAAAATTGTTTACAATTCGGCACTTTGTCGGCACGTGTTCAAGGCTTGCCCTTAATATGACGATAACTTTTTATTTGTCAGCTTACTTTTATTCGTCATCATCAATAAACGCTTAATAGATATATTTCAATTTCAGAGTCGGATGTAGAATTGTTCGAGGACAATCCGTTCCAATACATCAGAGCAGATGTTGAAGGATCGGATGCTGAAACCAGGCGCCGTTCTGCAAGTGACTTCGTGCGAGCTCTCTGCAAAGTGAAGGAGCAAAGTGTTTCTACCATCTTCTCTGATTATCTTGGCAACCTTATCGGGGTAAGTTATTTGTAGTACCAATGGTAATTGCTCATGTAATCGCAAAAGGTTAGCTGCTCTAATAGCTGCGGAGATATATTGCTCTAATACACAATGAGATCAACAATCGGCATAGGTTTGGACTATGCCACAGCACTCAGCAGTGGCCTGTGGCATAGTCCAAACTCTAAATTTAGAGTTAAAATTCCGAGCTAAAAGCGGCCCGCTTCTCGCGACAGTGTTACACAAGTCATGGTAGATGAAGTAACCCCGAGCATGGGTTTATCACGGAAAATTGAAATATTTCCAATACGTGGGGAACGAAAAAGCCATAGATCATTGATAAAAGGCTCTTTTCCTTACAATTTGGTTAAGGAAGGTGACATGGGAAAGTACTTCAAAATACAATATCTCAATGTTCCTCAATATAATACTTCAACAAGAATTGCGCCGGTTAGCGGACGCTAGATTTCCATCAACCGTAGTGATTGCTATGCCTTTCAAAATTTAAAATTAAAATTAACGATCGCGATAGTTTCATGTTGGTCAAAATATTAAATAATGGTTCTTTGTTTACCATTCTTGGGGCGCTACGGAACACAAAATGGAAAGGTTTCCATTGTCAATTAGTCAAATTTAAAAAGTTTAATGACCGGACACCGTAGCCTGCGCCTGTGTTATGTGGTGATATGCAGTTAAAAGTCGTGAAATCCGTAGTAGGTAATGCAACTCATAATAACATTTATGGTCCATTTCGTATAACAAATCAAGCACTCACAACAAAACGAGAAGTTAGTACGTTGTTCCGCATCATGATCAATGATCAAGTAAAGAAAAGCGTGAGCTACTTAACACATCCGGGAAATCGCTTGTAATCTAAATCAATTGGCGCCGCGCAATCGAAAGTGTAATTCGATCAATCGTCAAATCGTACAAACGTATGCGGAGGGTAACCATGGCGACTACACCATAACTGCTCTGCGCGCAGAGAATATGCATTAAAATAACGTATGCGGAGGGTTATGCATGTTTTCCTTTGTGACACGATTCATGACTCACGTGACACGAAAAAGCTACCTACCCACTATACCCATTCTCAAATCCTTCCACTTCTATACATCTATTGCCTTTTTAAAGAAAAAGACAGTTGATGTAAAAAATCTTAGGTCTTTAAGGGGGCCGGGGGGGGGTCTTCATCAAAATTCTCTCGAAATTGATTTTATAGTTGTTTCTGGTAGAGGGGAGTGATATCTATCAGCTGCTTTTGGTCCCATGGAAAAATATTGTTCCTAGCCAAAATTATCGCCAGTCAAAGGTCAGCGCTTATGTGTAATTGTATTGCGCGAGCGATTTTCAATCGCGCGCCCTGAAAATCGAGTCTAAAAATCTATCTTCTCCTACATTTTTTGAGCAATCACCCTGAAACTTTCAGGATATGTTCTAGGGATCATTGAGAAGATATCTGTCGAGCCGAATTTTGAGATAGGCCTTAGAAGATTTTTTATTCAATTTTGAAAATCCTGGACCTGGAAAAATCGTAAAAAAATGAGGTCCAAGATTTTCAAAATTGAATACAAAATCTTCTAAGGCCTATCTCAAAATTCGGCTCGACAGATATCTTCTAAATGATCCATAGAACATATCCTGAAAGTTTCAGGGTGATTGCTCAAAAAATGTAGGAGAAGATAGATTTTTAGACTCGATTTTCAGGGCGCGCGATTGAAAATCGCTCGCGCAATACAATTACACATAAGCGCTGACCTTTGACTGGCGATAATTTTGGCTAGGAACAATATTTTTCCATGGGACCGAAAGCAGCTGATAGATATCACTCCCCTCTATCAGAAACAACTATAAAATCAATTTCGAGAGAATTTTGATGAAGACCCCCCCCGGCCCCCTTAACTGTAAACTTAAACTGTAACTTCAGTTGTACTCCCTTCAATAGCTCCACTCTTAAGTATCCCCAGAAAGTATAAACAATCTCCCACTCTTCCGAGCAATCTATAAACAATTCCTAAACTATCCTCCTATAGCCAAAACAGAGGTGTTAAACTGAACTCTCTGATAACCAAAACAGAGATGTTAAAATAAACTCTGCTCCTGCTAAAACTCCCTGCGCTAAACAATTCCTAAACTATGCTATCCTCCTATAGCCAAAACAGAGGTGTTAAATTAAACTCTCTGTACTACCCTGCTGTACTAAATGTCGTACACTAATATATGCCCTAAAATACTGAACTAATACTGACATGCATATAAACTTATGATATAGAACCCAATATACAACGTCAATCAAGATTAGAATCTAAACCGTCTATCAAGTCCATTGCCATTAGGGCTCCACTTCTCGCGATCTCCTCTGCGCATCCCTTCGTCTTATCTCCGTATTCTTCTCTCTCCACGTCCTTTTTCACGGTCCTTTCTATCAGTCGTCTATCTTTACTGTGTCCACCGATTCATTTGTTGTAAAAAAGTGTTAGATTATGACCGAAATTGTTATTTTGGCGGGGGTGATGCAACGTCAATTAATGTCAGTATTCCATAAAAACCCAAAACTGACATTGACATTAATTGACATTAATTGACATTAATTGACATTAATTGACATTAATTGACGTTGCATCACCCCCATTTTGGCAAATGCCAAAATGACCCTACAACATCATCATTCAAGTAGATATTGTGACATTTTTCATATAGGACCTGCTGAAAATCATAAAGATACCACTATTTCGACCTACCTGGGCCGTCGATTCATTATCTAGTATCGCTAATATTATATTACATAATAATAACGGATATTATTGATAGTATGAAATAATAGTTATTTTTCGCATTAATAACCCTAATAAATGCGAAACAATAACCATAATTTCTTACAACCAATTCATACAGATAATATTCCCAATATTGACGATAATGAAGTGATGAAATAAATATTTTATATCAACCTGAATTGTTGGAGTAAGTACTGCAATCCTGAGTCTCAGAGCTGTGCCCTTGACAGTCTGCTCCACCATTTGCTGGGGTAGGGTTAGAGCAAGTTCTGATTCTTGTCTGCATTCCTCCCCCACTTGAAGTAGAGCACTTTGACCACGCTCTAAAGGTACTCCATCCACCATCAACCTCTCCGGTCGTATCTATAAGATATGGCGAATTTCTGATAAGATTTAATGTTCTAAGTGCTGGGGGTGTCCAACCCCAAAAAAACACATTTTATCTTTTTCCCCTTGTTTTTGTGACTTTTTATTCAATTATTCGAAAATCCAAAAATACAAAAACACATAATACAATTGATAGTGGAAATGATGGAGGGTAACATATAACTTGGTCTCGAATGAATGTATGTGTAAAGATTTTCAAACCCTGACTTACGTACAACTATACTGATCTTTCAAATTTTATATCCTTGCAAAAATAAGGATCACCAAATTTACTCCAAGATTTTAATACCAAAACCAACATGGCTCATGTAAAAGGGGCCTGAAAGTTGTGTTCCATTTGGCCCTATATCCCAAGTTGACTTTCGGGCTTCACTTCTTAAAGACTTACCTTAGACCTTAGTGGAGGCAAATGTGAAAGGGGCCTGAAAGTTGTGTTCCATTTGGCCCTATATCCCAAGTTGACTTTCGGGCTTCACTTCTTAAAGACTTACCTTAGACCTTAGTGGAGGCAAATGGTCAACAAATAGCGATGTTGGAGCTTAGTGTGCTTAAACCCTGGCCTCCTTTTATACCATAGGAGGGGGGGGGGGTCCAACCCGATGTCCGATATGAGGGTTGATGAGGCCAAAATCGGAATCGGAAAAATCGGAAAATTGAGAAATTTTAGAGAATCGATCTCTAAAACTTCTCAGAAGTGATATAATTCAACCAGAACCCCTACATATGCTATATTGTTATGAGAAAACGAACTAATTGGACATTCCAATAGTATGTTTTATGTGTTTTTCCACTGCAGGGGCTAGTATGCTCACTACTAGTTGGAGTTGTCATGTACTCCCAGACCCGAGTGCTTTGGCCTCTTGACGTGAGATCGATTGTTTCTGCTCATTAATTTTATCCCTGTTACTTGTTATTATGTATTAGTACAACACTAGGTACCGGGTTATATTTTGTGGTCCGGTCTTTAAACATACCATAATATCACTAGTACACTGCACCTTAAATGTATAGTCAAGTACATTTGTATCGTAACACATGCTTGGCTGGGGGATCATGTTTTGTGTCCGTTCGGTACCCTGTATTTTCAAAACGGACAAAAAGTAGAACGGACAAAAACAGACAAAACATTTAGATGTCCTCCTCCTCCTCCTCCTAAGTCTTCCTCCTCCTGAGTCCTTCTCCTCCTCAGTCCTCTTCAGTCCTCTTCCTGACTCCTCGTCCTCGTCCTTCTCCTCAGTCCTCCTCACCTTCCTCCTCAATTCCCTTCTCCTCCTCAGTCCTACTCCCAGTCCTCCTCCTTCTCCTTCTCCTTCTTCTTCTCCTCCTCCTCCTCCTCATCCTCATTTCTCCTCCTGATCCTCCTTCTCCTCCCCATCAGTCCTCCTCATAGTCGTCCTCCTCCTCCTGAGTCCTTCTCATCCTCCTCCACCTCCTGAGTCCACCTCCTGAGTCCTCCTCCTGAGTCCTCATCCTCCTCCTGAGTCATCATCCTCTTCCTCCTGAGTCCTCCCCCAGTCCTCCTCCTCCTTCTCCTCCTCATCCTCTGTCCTCCTCATAATCGTCCTCGTCCTCGTCCTTAGTCCTCCTCCTCCTTATCCTCCTCCTCAGTCCTCCCCCAGTCCTCATCCTCCTCCTTCTCCTCCTCCTCCTCCTCCTCCTCCTTCTCCTTTTTCTTCTCCTCCTAATCATTCCTCCTCCTCAGTCGTCGTCCTCCTCCTCCTCGTCCTTAGTCCTCGTCCTCTTCAGTATTCCTCCTCAGTCCTCATCCTCATCATCCTCCTCTTCAGTCTTCCTCCTGAGTCCTCCTCCTCGTCCTCCTCCACCTCCTCATTCCCCTCCTTATCCTCCTCCTCT